TCCATTCTTTGGGTTTTTAGTCTATGAATTTCATTGGGATTAGATGAGTCTCTTGACTGCAAGACTGTTGTGCTTTTTTATCCAGCTAGCCAAATCTGTCTTTTAATTGGCAAGTTGAGGAAAATTACATGGACAGTTATTCTGGAAGGTATGACTTATTCCTGTCATTACATTCTTTTCTGTTGTTGACTCCTTTATTTTTCCCTTCGTAACTGCTCACCTTGCTTGATATGTTCAATCTCACTTTTGGTTTTGTTGTTTTCATTGTACCTGTTTAGGATATCCATGTTTTTTCCAGTACTGGTTTTGTATTCATGAGTCAGTCAATCACTCTGTCTGTCTGTCTGTGTCTGTTTGTCTGTCTGTATGTCTGTCTCTCTCTCCCCCCTCTCTCTAAGCAATTTATTTAACTGAAAGACTTCCAGTTGTTTAATTGAAATGACTTCCATTTATTTTTTTATTAATTTTATTGAGAAACAGATATCAATGAGACAGTTTCAAAACCAATTAATAGGACAGTTTCAATAATTAATACAATTCATATTGTTATCTTCTTCATGGTTATTCATAGTACAAGATGCAGACATGATATCCTGTCCAAATATTGTTAGTACAAATCTTTCTTCTCACTGAATTAAGAGAAAGTAGCTGTGTATCTATCCTATTTTGTATATACAGATACAAAATGGTCCTCCCTTTGTATCTCTTTTGTTTAGTTTTGTTAGGGATGAGTATTTCATTGCCATTTAAATACTGTAGGTGTGTGAATTCAGCAAAATAATCCAATACAGTCCAGTAGTCCATAATAGTAGTGGGTTACCTGTAGGACTGACAATGTCAGAAGTTGTTGACTTGAGCCTTTCACAGCTCAGCATATTAATATGGCTTTACTTTTTATACTTCGTTTTTATACTTTTCTGCTGGATGGTTAAGACCAAGATAAAGTAAGACCTATATAACAGGAAATGTAACTTTTGTATCTGATGAGGTCAGTCAAGTCCCCTCAGGTTTTATCCTGTTACTCTGTACCACAGTTTGCAGATTCTTTGTCAGTGTCAGAGTTCCATTTACTTTGATATGTCTTTTCCTCATGGTGATTTACAGGATCTTCAAGCCAATATAAAAATTTTATAAATATTTGGATATTTGGGCATACACCTATACAATACCTCAGCAATATCTTTTGGGAAGAAAAACAATGAAGAGTAAAGACTGGACACAATTACTAGGTACAGTGAAAATCTGCTGCATTTCTGAGGTAAGAAGGCACCACAGAAGAAGGTTCAACTAAGAAAACCATCCTTAAAACACAGGATTTTTTTTTTTTTAACTTAAAACACTTAAGTGGCCAATTAGGTGCTGAGTGGCAGAGCTACAGCCCCAGCTTATTCCATTAATTCATAGGGAACAGGTTTCAACAACTCAGGCTCCTTTCCATTGGTTCTCACAAAGTGCACTTCTTTGGATGGGCAGGTTAGTGCTTCAGTTGAGCCCAAGTACATTTCTTTTTGGCTTCCTTCTTTTTCTGATCATTTCAGGAAGTTACCATGACTCTTTGAGTGTTTAATATGCTCAAAACACACGTTAATCCTCTTGGCAAGTATTCTGCCCTTAACTTGCTTGCTTACAACAATGCCAATAGCATGCTGGGTAACATTGTAGACTCTCCCTGTTTTGCCATGGTAACATTTGTGAGACATTCGTTTTTGCAGAGTACTCCCTCCCTTGAGGTCTAAAATATCGCCTTTTGTAAATTCACATGTATATGCCTGAAGGAACAATCCCATGTTCTCTAAAAGGCCTGGAAAACATATATGGGGTTCCCCTCCTCATGCCCTTTGTGTTAGTCATTTTGGCAAATTACTGGACAATGGCGGTTCCAGCCAAAAGGCCATAAATCTTTTAAGGTGTTATGGAACACCTTTTATTTCTATTTGCTAGGATCCATTGGTCTCTTTGTGTGATCTGCTGTAGCCGGGGAGAAATGGTGGCAGCAATGAGGAAGAGACAAGAGCTGGGCCATGTGGTAGCCCATCTGCCTTGTTGGTGAGATGACCCCTAGAACAATAGTAAGGGCCTTTATTCATATCTTTACACTGAAAATTGCAAGACATAAGGCTGCTTAGTGACTAATAGCCCACAATGTCCATCAAGATGTTTTTTTCAAGACTGAGATAGCTTGACTGCTTTAGGCAATGAGGCTCATCCTGCCCTCCCAGGTATGATCAATTTCAGCTTTAGCAGCTCCCAACATCTATTAATTTGGAGAGATACTTTTGTAGGATATATTACTTTGGGTTTCAAGTGTTCTATGGTTTGAAACACCCACTACATTACAATCTCTCCTGGCCTTTGTGTTGAAACATCTGCTATAATTCTAATGGATTTTTTTAATTTTCTGTGAACTTTTAAAATTTCGTCTTTCTGCATTGGACTTCAGGGATTTTTGATTATTATGTGTCATGGGGGAACTTTTTAAAAATGTATCAGTTATTACTACTCTGTAAGTCTTTTTGCTTACCTGTATGTTATTTCCCCACATTCAGAAAATTTTCCAGTGTGCTTATCTGTAAATATCTTTTATTCCATGTGTATTATATTTGTCTTAAGGGTATAGTAGCTGTTAGATGAATTTTTATTTATAATTTTTAAGGTTTCCCTAAGTAAATGTTTTTTCATGTTGTCCTTGATATCTGAAACCCTATGTTCACAATGGCCATCTGTTGTTTGGGTTTAACAGAATTCTTTATTTCTGTGTATCAGTCAGTGCTCACTCGAGAAAGATTCAATGTAAGATACATAAATATATAAGAATTTACTAGGCATGTTTACAATGGTCTCCTGCAGTCAGGTGTAGAACAGTGCAAAAGTGCTGTCAGTGTGCTGGAGATCCAAATGATCCAGTCAAAGGTCGAGCTTGGAGCTCGCTGTAGAGGCAGCATGAGTCTATATCACGAGGCTGAATGGCCTGTGAGGGAAGGCTGATGGGCCTGTGCTGGAAGGCTAAAGAGTACATCCTGGAAGATGGGAGATGACACTCAAGGTGAAGGGAAGACGACCTCTTCTGAATAGAAGTGACCTTTCCTTCTTCCATTTGGTTTACAAGCCCACAGATAGTACAACTCACACCTAGGGTGGGTCTTCTGTCTTACTAAACTCATTCAGTCACATCTAGAACTATGATAATCCAACTTAATTAGGCATTTTTTGACTCAAATTGACATAACCATTAACTATCACACCCCATGAGTTGTTTGGGACCTTTTTATTGAGTCTGTGATAGTTAATTATGGTGTCAACCTCAGTAAGAAACCTCCAGTTAATTGGCTTACCATAGTTCTAGGTATATCTGATGGATCTACTGAAGGAAGACCCATGCTGGCTGTGGGGAGCACCAAACAATACACCTAGATTGGATACAAAAGAGAAGAGAGGAGGAAGTCTCACTTCTGTTTCTTCCAAGGATCTCCAGTTCTTGCTATTACTTTTAGACATGCACCTCCAGGCTTCCAGCACACTCTTCTGCCTTTGAGCTCAGACCCACCAGCTTCCTTATATGGCCTCCCGAGGGACTGTGCAGTATACTGCAGGTATTTGTTTTGACTGGATGGTTGGAATCTCTAGCATGAAAATGGCTTTTTCTTTTTTTTTTTTGAGACAGGGTCGCACCATGTAGTTCAGTCTGTTCTCAAAATCGTGGTGATCCTGCCTCATACACTACATCTGACCTTTTTTTTTTTTTTTTTTCTTAAAGACAGTCTCACTATGCAGTTCAGGCTGGCTTTAAACTCACCATGTAACCTAGGCTGGATTTGAGCTTATTGTGCTGCTCCTGCCTCTGTCTCTTGAGTGCTGAAATTATAGGTATGTACCACCATCCCCACCCAGAAGCTATTTCTTTGGTACATTTTGATCCACGTTTTTGTTTTGGTTAGCTCTTTCAATGTTTGATTCTCCCACAACCACAAGATTGTTTGACAGATCACAGTAAGTTTGATAGTTCCATTATCTTTTGGGTCATATCTTCGAGCTCACTTGAGTTTGTTTCCTCAGGGTATCCACTTTTCTCCATCACTGATTCAGAGACACTCCTGTGTCACACCTAGGCAGTCACCTTCTCTCATTGCCACTTTCTGAAACAGTTTTGGAAGCCTCTTTTTGAACAACTTTCAGTTATACTGTTTTGGCTGCCTGTCTGGAATCGATCCAAAATGTTTCCCTTTTCATGGTGATTTTCATGTTAGTAAAGAGCCAGAAGTCACACAGTAATAGAGCTAGTAATAGAGCTAGGGAACAGGGTAGATAAGGACACACTGTATTTTCACAAGCCTGCTTTCCCACTCGATGGCATGCAACAGCAACCTCCACTGTAGTTCTGATCACAAACCATAAAGATACAAACAAAAAGTACTTCCTGCACTACTGCAATGGCAAACAGAAACAGCAAAACAATACCCAGGATTTGGAGGCAAATTTATTTACCTGAACAGGAACTGAAGGGGATCACTCCCAAAATATCAGGCCCTAATGTGTAGTGGTCTAAGACTTATATGAGACAAACAAGCAGGAAGTACAGAGGCACAATGGCTTCTCAGTTGGGGACTGGTTTACACAGTGCATCATAGTGACCAGCTATTTCTGGGATCTGGACTAGGAACTATTTACCTGGACAACTAACAAACTGAATAAAGTATCCGGGCTGGTACTTTCTGCTATACTACTTCAGAAAGTAGTAAGAATGATTGGGTAAGAGTGTATGAAGTAGGGGCTGGGGATGTAACATAGTGGCACAAGTGCCTGCCTGGCAAGTACCAAGTCCTAAATTCAATTCTCAGTATTAAATGGAAAAAATAAAAAGACCATATGAAGTGAGGGAGAGTATTCTGAGAAAGATTAATGTCAATCTATCTCTCATGATAATAAACTTAAATTTAAAAATGTATCATATATTTTGATCACTTCTTGTGTACCCAACAGACAGGCAAACAAACACAATTGCATACTTTAAAGCCAGATATATTTAAAAAGATTACATAAAAAGTAAATTATGTAGTGAAGAAACATCAAATAAGGCTGATGAATAAAAAGGCACATCTGAAAAGTGTAGGAGGACTAGAAAGAATGGTTCTTTCTAACACAGAAGAGAAAAAAGACATATTAAAATTATTTTCTCAGGTGAAACTTTCTGTCAGTGGAAGTGATTAACACTGGCTTCTTTTCTCTCTTGTCCAAGGCAGTCTTCATTCTCCTCGTCTTTTGAGAGGTCTTCAGTCTTCTGCTACGTAGAAATGATACATCATGGCAACAGCCAGGGCTGAGATGGCTGGGATAATCCAGTTGGTCCACCAACTACAAAGAAACACAAACAATGATGTTTCCATGATGTTCAATGCAGGGAACGTATTTGCTTTCTCTGACAGAGAACTATCATGGCATTTTTTTCTTACCTCTTTACTCAATTTGGCTAAAAAGGTAAACTTTGTTAAAGTTGATGTGAATAAAAATACACACCTACAGTTACTAGCAATTAGTCTCTTCTGCTGGTGCTATGACAGAACTAGTGTCCCACCAACTCTGCTTCAACTAGTTTCTGTAAACTTGATGCAGAAAGCTGCATTCGCTCTCCTAACACACTGTCCAGGAGCAGTGAGTTTCCCAAGGACATAAACTCCAGATTATGTATGGCAAGGTAACAACAGTGAATATTTTTGACCTGTTTTATTTTAGATAAGAATATTAAGAATTTTTAGTGGTACTAAGTCAAGAATCAGAAGTTCCAGGTTTTCATGCAGGGTGAATTGTCAGCAAATGCTACAGTCAAGGGAAGATCTACATCCCCTGAACTTCAAAGAGAATGGGCCTAAAGAGTAGTCTTAAGGTGGCCACCTACTCCTTAGCTCTGATACACCTCAATGCCAATATTCTGGTTTTGCTTTGAAAATTTTATCCTGACATTTGTTTGATATATTTAAATTATTAAGAAACATCAGGACCAAAATAACTTGTAGTCTACAAATTAAATTAACTTATAAAAATAATTTACTGGGGCTGGCGAGATAGCTCAGCGGACTGTAGCGCCTACTTGGGCAAGCTTAGGCAAGTGTAGGGACCACAGTTTGATCCCTGGCACAACATGCCATGCCAGCCCTGCCCCCAGAGTGGGCTAAGCCAGCCACAAATAAATAAATAAAAATGTATTCATTGTTTTGATGCATAAAATTTCATTTCTCTTTACTACAAATTACACATTATGGGTTAAAACACAATCAGTTTAAGTCAAGTCAATTCAGACTTGAATCTTTAAGTTAGATTTGAATTGATTTAGATTTTAATATCTTAGACAACAGAAGTTAATGTATATAGCCTTTAGTATTCAAACTATGTACAGGTATTTCCTACCATAAACTTTCTATTCTTTAATATTTCTTATACATCAAACTTTTCAAAAGTCAAATTCAATATAAAGATGTAAAGTGCAAAAAGATTTCAAGTGTGATTTTTTTTCATCTCACTGAGGTTTGGAGAGTTCTCCACTTTGTATTTGGAAAGACAGCCTATCAGTGGAAAATGAGGAAAAGCAGTGTCAGGAGGCTGAGAATGTTCCAGAACACCAAAGCATTAGACAGTTAAATCTGACATGATGAAATAAATATGTGGTCTTGAGGTTAAGTTCTTTATCACCACTACCACTACCACTACCACCACTACCACCCCCCAATAGTATTATATAAGTCAATATGAAAGAGCTGCCAAAAACAAATATGAGCTCAGACAGTAATAAAGACATCACATCCTGTACTTTGAATCCTGGATTCAATTTTTAGTGCCAATATAATGACAAAGGAAAACTGAATCATGCTTAGGGAAATGTAACCACCATGGTTGAAGATGACCAAATATGAAAGATACCAAAGGAGATGGAAGCTATGCTGAAGGGGCACTCATGGCACTGAGTACCTGAAGGCCACCGTGGGGGACATTTGTTCTATATGTTTTTTTGTGCAGATGCAGCCAGAAGGTGAGATTTGGAGTCCTCATGGGAAGTGTTGATAGCTGTCCTGACAGGTTAGGACAGAAAGCCTTGAATCCTCTGGGCACTGTGGGGAGATGGTCCTAGGATGACAGGTAGGAAGCACAGTGGAAACCCAAGCACAGAGAATCAGAGAGGGGAAGCACCCAGTCCAATTCTGACTTAAGCCTTCCAAACCAACACTGCTTTAAAAAACAAACAAACAAAACCACCACATACCTGGAATTAGATTCAACTGTAGTAATAAGAGTTTCCTGGAACAAGAGAGAAAAAATAATATAAGGCAATGTCTATTTACTCTGTTGCTTGAACAACTATTTTAAAATAAGATCACAATATTTTATTCAATGCTATCTTTGAAAAAACATTGAAAGGAAAAAGTAAATCATTACCTTTTTTTTTTTTTTTTTTGTACCAAGAATTGAATTCATGACCTCATGCTAACCAGGCAGGAGCTGTGCCACTGAACTATATCCCTGGCCCCTTCATTACCTTTTCACTAAAATGCCATACCATTCTTTTCCAAAATGAAAAAATTAAGAATTATCTATATTTAAATCACTTAAGAATATAACCTTGAAATTTTAAAAATGTTCAACATTAATAATTATGTAAAATATCCTACACACAATAAGCTTCTACATACTTTGAGAAAGAACCAAAAAACATATCCAGGAATACATATATACACCACCATCATCTTTAGGAAGGGCAGCCTAATCTTTAAAAGCATGAAATGTACAATTAAAAAATCAATTATTTTATTCAAATCCAACAGAACGTAAAAGTGTACCTAAATTACATTAAAATGTATGTCAAAAAATAAAAAAAGAACTGTGATTTCAAGTTCTAAAGTTATAAAGTGCCTAGAGTCCACAAGAACTTCTCTACTCCATCTCCAAATACAAAGGCCCTGTTTGTACCTTCCACCACAGCCCTGTGGGACAAACAGAGAAGGTCTACGGAAAAAAATTACACATTCCCAAAAGGCTGGAAAATAAGGCCTAGTGAAACAAACTTGTCTTAGCTTCTAGCCATGTTAAAAGCATTCTTTTAGTACTCCACACCAGCAAAATATTAGTGCTTCAAGCAAAAGTAGCCATAAAAGAGGTGGCTTCAGCAGAGACTCTGATGTCTGCGGTTTCCTGCAGTACAGATCTAAAAGCATTAGGAAAACAATCAGCGGTTTGCAGTGAGGCCAACTCTGCAGAGCACAAAGCCTGTTAAAGACACTTCCAGGAAAAGGAAGACTCCTTCCAGGGAAGCAGAAGCAAAGCAGTCAGCAGATACACCAACCTTGACACATGGTCCTCATGATTCCTGACACGGCAGGGGGGAGAATTAGTCATTTGAAAAGAAAACTTCACATTTATTATCTGCTTAAGAAATTTAATTCTTAGTTGCTATAAAACATACAGTTACTGTGGAATTAATTTTCAAATTTTGTACATATAAACAAAATTAACAAAGATTAGTAGAAATAATCAAACGATGTGAACAATGTTATCGAGCTATTAGAAGACGGATATCATCAGTTCTGAACACAAAGACTTTCCTGGAGGAAAATTATCACTGTGACAAGGGGGAGTTAGGTATAAAACAGTAAACAGAAGCCAAACACACACAACCATGACTGTCATCTTGGACACGAGTGTATGCATTTTACCAAACTTGCGACTCTGTGCCAACTAAAGTGGGCTTCTACTTTTGCCTTCTTGGTTGGCATCGGTTCCAATGGTGAAATGCCACCCTAGTGCTAACACGTTGGCTGTTGATATGTACACCATAATGACCCCCTAAAAACAGAACCTAAAAAAAAAAACATACACTTTTTGCTTATCTTTTTGGCTCTATAAATCCAAGCTGAAGTGCCACTTAGCACATGGATGTAAAAGCAATTGGTCCTTAGGGGATAAATCTGTGACTCTCAGTTGGGTTTTGGTTGGACACTACCGGATATGTCAACAATTAAAAGGGAGGAAGGATTCTAGTGTTTAAGATAAGCCCTGCCACCTGCTTAATCCTTTGCCTGGAGTTTCTCCAGCTTCTAGTGAAAAAAAGATTAATACATTCCACCTAAGCAAGTTTCATATGAAACTAAAAATATATAATTTCTTCATATAGAAATATCTTCTTTGGCAATTTAACACTATAGTTCCCTTGGGCAGGTTTAAGCTAATTATCTTCAGTACACCCTATTTCACAATTTACCTAGATTATTTTAAACATCTAGATTAGTTAAGTTTATTTTTCTTCAGTGCTTGCAATGAACATCAAGCTCGGCATGCTAGGCAAGTGCTCTACCAATGACGGATATACCCTCAACCCAAGAAGGGAACATGTTTTAAAAAATTAGACTCCACATTTTTGCTGCCCGGATGCGGAGCGAGAGGTTGAGAGAGTCGGAGACGTTATCCGCTTCCATCCGTCACGCAGACCCTGCCGGAGCCGCTGCCGCTATGGATGATCGGGAGGATCTGGTGTACCAGGCGAAGCTGGCCGAGCAGGCTGAGCAATACGACGAAATGGTTGAATCAATGAAGAAAGTAGCAGGAATGGATGTGGAGCTGACAGTTGAAGAAAGAAACCTCCTATCTGTTGCATATAAAAATGTGATTGGAGCTAGAAGAGCCTCCTGGAGAATAATTAGCAGCATTGAACAGAAAGAAAACAAGGGAGGAGAAGACAAACTAAAAATGATTCGAGAATATCGGCAAATGGTTGAGACTGAGCTAAAGTTAATCTATTGTGACATTCTGGATGTACTGGACAAACACCTCATTCCAGCAGCTAACACTGGCGAGTCCAAGGTTTTCTATTATAAAATGAAAGGGGACTACCACAGGTATCTGGCTGAATTTGCCACAGGAAATGATAGGAAGGAGGCTGCAGAGAACAGCCTAGTGGCTTATAAAGCTGCTAGTGATATTGCAATGACAGAACTTCCACCAACGCATCCTATTCGTTTAGGTCTTGCTCTCAACTTTTCTGTATTCTACTATGAAATTCTTAATTCCCATGACCGTGCCTGCAGGTTGGCAAAAGCAGCTTTTGATGATGCAATTGCAGAACTGGATACACTGAGTGAAGAAAGCTATAAGGACTCTACACTTATCATGCAGTTGTTACGTGATAATCTGACACTATGGACTTCAGACATGCAGGGTGATGGTGAAGAGCAGAATAAAGAAGCGCTGCAGGATGTGGAAGATGAAAATCAGTGAGACATAAAAGCCAACAAGAGAAACCATCTCTGACCACCCCACTCCTCCCCATCCCACCCCTTGGAGATTCCCCATTGTCACTGAGAACCACCAAATCTGACTTTTACATTTGGTCTCAGAATTTAGGTTCCTGCCTTTTTTTTTTTTTTTTTTTTTTTTTTAAACAGTTTTCAAAAGTTCTTAAAGGCAAGAGTGAATTTCTGTGGATTTTACTGGTCCCAGCTTTTAGGTTCTTTAAGACACTAACAGGACTGCATAGAAGCTTTTTCAGCATTACTGTATTGTCTGCGTGCCAGATGTGGCAAGATCACCATTAGAAATGGAAATTACAATTGAAAGCCATTAGACTCCTAGGTGATGCATCTAAGAGAGAGTGATCACACTGTAGAGACACGTGGTATCGTTTTTCCCTTTTCTAATTGTTTAAATTACATTTTATACCAATGTTTAAACTTAATTAGGTGTTAGCTTGAGGTGGTTAAAGGTTGTTTTGGGGGGGAGTTTGTTCCAATGGTTTTGCTATAAAAAGTGTTCAAACTCTGCTGAAGTGTTGCTGAAAAGCATGGTGCTGGTAACAGTTCAACAATCCGTGGCTGCTCATTCTTGCCTACTTTACTCTCCCTCTGAAGCAGGTTAGCATTGAAGGTGGTATGGAAAAGCCTGCATGCGTGTTCAGGTCTTTGTTTCTTCTTCCCTCTCCCTCTGTCCCCTCCCCCCTTCGCTTGCTCA